AATTTGTATGTATGTAGAATCACTCGCTGATTCCAAAAATGCAGTTCATTTTTTTTTTTATGGTTCCTTTTTCGAGATTCAGCTTACAAAAGGGTGGGACCACTTAATCACGGATATCCAACGAACCAATTGAATAGTCGTAATACGTGGAAAGGCAAATTAAAGCAAATAAAATTATCCATAAACTGAGTATATATCACTTTTCGATCGGTCTGATAATTAATCATTCCCGATTTTTGGTTTTTTTGGTTACAAATTTAAAAAAATTTCAAACTTTAACAGGGAAAAAATAAAAAAATAAGAGTTTCTGTGTAAATGTTTTGCACCTTTGTTAAAACCTGCTCCTTTAGAAAAAAACTCAGGGCTAGCGATAAATTATGTATTTACGGTTTATGGGGAATTTTATAAGCTTTCATTTTCCTTATCCGTATTACAGTTATTCAAATTAGACAAATCTTTTTTTAAGCTGAATAACGGTAAAATGCAAATATCCCGAAAAGTTATCCATAAAAAAATATCTCAATTTTCGGAATCACCGAGCAATTCTACATAAGAGTTGTAACTCAAAAAAGCAAAACTCGAAAAAAATGGCTTTAAAGTTTTGAATTTACATATGTATGTTCATATGTACATATGCTCTCATAGAAAAAGTGTATAGTTATGCACATACATATATTGTTCAAGTGAGATACTGATGATCGATACAGCTATTTTTACACAACATAGAAGAATAGGTAGCAGCAATTTCTGCATACTCAACTCAATATTTGAATTTTTTAGATGTATCCTTGACCTACAAACCAAGATCTTGAAATTATGTAAAACTGTCAGAAATTTAATACTTAGTTTAAGCTCTAAGACTGGTGACCTGATTGGCAAAGTTTGAAAATACGATTGCGATGGTACATACTAGGGATGTTAATTTTTCAGCTTTTTCAGTCCCGGGATTTAGATACTCATTACTTTTCAACAACTTAAATCGAAAAACTTGCTTGTATATTGTTTGAGAAGCTCTCCTACCATAAAATAAATAATAAATAAATGGGTTTGAAACCTTCTTTTTTATTTAAAGTGGCGCCTTTATTTTTGCTCTCTGACTTCAGGATTTATTTTAAAGGAATTTGTAGTTCCAAATATAAGATTAATATATAGTTAATATATAATTAAATATGGGTACCAAATGGAAGAGGAAATTTGTTTGGATTTAAAAAAAAATTAAAATTTTTTGGATTCACTAGGACGAGTAGGTAATTTTTTAAACTGATAAAGTTAAAAGAATGAAGTTCGAGGATGTTATCGAGCTTATACAAGTCGGTTTGGCTTATACAAGTCCTTAACATATAATTTTTCCAAAAAAAAAAAAATATTGCGAAATTTCAAGCATACAATTTTAAAAGGATATTTTCAGTACTACCAGTCCTTCTGCACCAAAACTTGAATCTGCTTAAATTCTACAGAATTTCCTCTTTAATTTGATACCCACATTTCTTCTCTAAGCACATTTCTCTGAATTTTTTAAATCATTTTTGAATTACTGACCGAAAAACTAAAAACGTGATTTTACTATATTTGGCCCATGGTTAATTATTAAATTAAAAAAAAAAACAAATATAGCCAATACTGGTCAAGAAAAGGAGTTTCCATTATTGCCATCAGTGCAAATTACAAATCCCGAAAATTCCGCACTCTATATGTGCAAATCTCCGACTCAGCGTATCTGATATTGAAACTTAGCTATGAACATTAGCTAAATATTTCACTTGCAAAAAGAAAAAGTGGAAGTTCTTATATTAGTTTTTCGGCCCCTTACTTAGATGTTTTGTTGCTTTTTAAATAAAATCCTGCATGTTTACAAATAAATCAGAATGAGTGAAGAGCTTCAAATTGGAAAGCACTAAATTGTAAATCACAACAGATTATATCAATAAAATATGTGCATGTGTATGTATTTTCAGTAAAAAATAAAAAATTAAAAAACATTTTTACGAGTATGAACATTAACTGGTTTTCAAGCCATCCTCAAATAATTTAATAAATAAAAAATACACAATCATACGTACATATATAAAAGCTTTCTGGCTATATATATTTAGAACCAAATTTTGTAATTAAATAGAAGAATTAAAACCAAAATAATTCAACTTGTTTTGATTGCTTCAACTGATTTTGGCTCTTAATATGTTAATGTCGCTTATTCCAGCTGAAAAAAAAAACAAAAATATATTCTGAACTGGCTTCTGCTTGAATTAATTCCGAAAAAAAATTGATTTATTACCTGGGGTCAACAACACAATCCATTCCCATTTTAAATGCATTCATCTCTTTTTTAGTAATGTAGACCGGTTTTCGAAAGTAATGACAAAGTAAATCGAAAATTAATGATTTTTAAGATAAATTTCTGTTTTTTCAGTTAATAATATTCACAAATTTTTCGATAAACAAGCTTTTTTCAACAGGGAAAAAGTTGGCTGTGGCCTTGGATACCCAAATTAATACTGAAAGTTCTGATACCAAAGAGCTTTGAGTCGCGAAAACTACGAACTTTTTACTACCCTTGCTTTAGAAAATAATCAAATATACGAATTCTTGATTTTTGATGAAAACGAACATATGTACACATAATATAGAAAGGCCCTATCTACCAATTTTGTTTCTTTAGAGTGTAGTCGTAAATCTTTATAAAAACTAGAGTTCTTTAGTTGAAAATTTGATAAAAACGCTGGTGTTTAATGAACACTAAAAGAAGTTTATTGAACTTTTAATTCCTTTTAAACTCCATTATGTTCTTAGTGAGTAATTTAACTATTTTGGTACGACGTTGAATTTCGAAGCAAATGACTTTGGGCCTTTTTATTTTAAGGTAATGGTGTAATAGAAGCACTCCTATATATAAATCTTGCATCATATTCATACATACATATATACATATATATGTACTATTGCACATATGTATTTGCCATTTTACTAAATTATCCGTGTTTAAGTTAAACTGGTTCGAGCATCTTCCAAAAAAAAATATCTGAAGCAATGCCGAGTGTACTTCTTTCATGAAAAAACTTTGCATTAAAACCTCGATCCTTCCATTTTGTTGGAAACATCAAGACATACACCATAAATTGGGTCGTCCAAACACTCAATGGGAATAATTTTTTCTTAATAAACGTAAACATAAAAATTCTATAAAACTAACTTTAAAATACTTAAAAAAAAAAAATTCTATAAAACTGATTTAAAACAAAATCCCTTTTCTGTTCTAAGTCCACATTTAAAGGGCGAATTCACAAATTTCGTTTTATTTAATTTGTTTACGCAGTGGTTAATCGAGAATTTCCTTTTATTCAAACATATTTTTTTTTTACTGATCACTTTTTATTTGGCCAGAAAGAAATTAAAATATTTATCCGGCGATGCGAAAGCTTATATTCATGTATATCATGCCTTACTTTCACCCTCATTATACATATATACCTCACCCTCATTATACATAAATAATATTTCGAAATTTGATACTGTTGATACATTTCTTTTTTATTTTCTCAAAGAAAGATTTCTTTTAAAATTCTTTTTTAACTTGCAACAACTTTTTTATACCCCAGTAGAGTACTTAATCACCACAAAAGTTTTCCTGTCCACTTCATCTTAATTTGTAACTGGCTTTTGTTTCCTTTGCCAAGCATTGCTGTCCGTATTTATGCACACAGCATAATACATATAAATATATTTTGCTCCTTTACGTTCGTTTAATTTGCTGCAACAGAAATTGTTTTCTAAGTATTCCACCTTCAACCAGACAAGTCGTTTCTCAAATTTTCGCACTAATACCTTAACGGCTTGAAGGTACTCACAAAAAAAGGCAGACAAAATAACAAACACAATTGTTCAATTTGCTGCCAGCATTTTCAGTTGATACAATTGGCCATTCCATTTGGAAAATTACAAAATTAAAACAAAAAAACTTTTTGGCTTTGAAAAATTGTCCAGAACGAAAGTACGAATTCTTTTCATTTCATACAATTATTTGTAGCTCAAAAGTTTGCTCGTTCATTTCCTGTTTCACTTTTGGTTTTTGCTTTGTACGCAGTTAGACATTCATTTCACCTTTTACCTTACTTTTTAAATCATTTAGTTTTTTTTCCATCAACACTCACTCACCAAATTATTAATTGCTTCTGCAATTAAGATATATTTTTTGCTACTCCTGCGGCCTTTAACTAATTGCACTGCAATAATTTGTCAGCTCCTTTGGCTGATAATTACTTTTTTTTTAATAACGTTTAATTTTACGTTAGAACACTGTGCTTAGCGACTGGCTGACTGCAACTGTTGCAAGTTACTGGTGGCGCGTGCGAAACGTTTGTGATATTGCCGCACGAATTGACTGCTGCTTTTATACGCCCGTTTGGCGAACTGCGCTTGTGTCTACGCTTGTGTGTATGTGTGTGCCTGTTGGTGAATTCGCAAGCCAACGATGCTGCTGCAGTGAGGTGGGGGTGGGCTGCGTTATGTTGCTGTAGTTCTTGTTCCATTCTCATTGCTGTGCTCCAGCGCTGCGACGCTAAAGCCGACGCCGACAACAGCGCTGGCGCGTTGCCTTGTTTCTCAGCTATTTAGCTGTTGTTATCGCACAATCGACGCTATCTTATCTCAGCTGACAAAATTCGAGTAACTGGATACTTGTTTGATGCTGGCATTGCGGCATTTTACTCGGTCTAATCCACTGCTGCAGCCAATTCAGTTGTTTCGCTGCCAAATCACCATTTGTTTGTGTTTGCTTTGATAGCAATGCAATGTGTATTTACAGGTATGTACGCGTACATAAATATAAGTATGTATGCATATGTTTATATGTAGATATGTTTGTGTACATATGTACGTATTAGCTTTGAGAGGGAGTATTGTGAACGCTTAACCACGTGCTTCTCGGTCGTTGCGGCATTTCGGTATTTCAGTCGATGAGTTTGTTCCAATTTGCTTTGCTTTTTATTCTGATTTTGTAAATTTATACTGCATGTACATAGAATATATTATTTCACGTTTGCTTAGGTTTGGTTTGGTCGGCGAAAGTCCTTCGGCTGAACCCTCCATGAGGGTGTCGAGTGGTAATGGGCGCCACACTTTTTAGGTTCTGTACGATGTCAGAACGGTGTCCAGCTAAGATCAGAAATCAGTGCCATGTGCTCAAGCTCCTCAATAGCTTAGATATATGGAAATGGTTTTTGATCGTGGCCTATGGATGTAACGGAGGAGAAAACCTATTGAAAAAAAGCTCCGCGTTGGAACAAAGTATTAGACGACCCGTGCTGATGTTCAGCCTGACTGGGGACCCAAATTAATAACTAGCCCAGTCTCGAACGGAGTGTTCCGGATACATGGCGACCTCCGGTTCTATCTGGCCTTACCTGTGCACACGGACCTCTGTGCAGGCGGACCTCTTCTGTCCGATACTCGTGGGACCAATATTATGAGTGAAACTTCCAAACACAAAAAAATCAATAAGGTCCCGTAAAAAGACAAACCAGACAGCTTAAAACAGGTTGCTATTGTGAGTCAAAGAGGAGCGGCTAAACATGTCAGCCCCTCGAAGCAAGCCTATTATGACGGGCGGCCAACTCAAAGTCCAGGTCAGTACATTGGGCGAGGGGAGTAGTATCCAGCTGGGAAAGAGACAGCGGACTGTTGAACAAATAGGGGATAGGGTCGCCAAAAAACCAAAAACCGGTGGCCACAAATATACATCTTTCAGTGACGCTTTTAAGGGTGGCGGTGAGGTACTGGCCATCATTGACAGAGGGGAGGAGGAAGGGACTATGCCTAAAGAGAATTGGAGGCGGGTAGAGGAGGCGATAGCCGATATCTACCTCCAGGTCCTGGAGGATAACCCCGGACCTCCTCTCCTATGCCATGATTCCGGCTTATACAAGGGCAAAGCAAAGCTCATCGCCTGCAAGGACCATAGATCAGCTCAGTTGTATAGGTTGGCTGGAAGTAGTGTAGGTGAGGTCTGGCCGGGGGACAACATCCCTAACAAACCCAGAGCTCGGGTTTCGATTCCGCCCACGCCAGCTGAGCCAGAAAGAATGCAGCAGATTTTCAAAACCCGCAACAGAGACCTGCCAACCCATAACTGGAAGGTAGAGAAAACCGAGGAGCCAGTATAAGGCAGGAGGCAGGTGTTGTTGATCCTCAACGCCGAATCGCTTGCCCCGCTAGTGCAGAAAGAGTGGGTGTTCAGATTCAGATTTGCTGACGCAACCTTTGAATCTACCGCACCGACGAGCCGTACAACAACTAAGCTGCTATGGCCGCAAATTGATAAGAAAAAAACGGAAGAGCTGCTTAGTCTCTCAAGAGAGATCATTTCGATAGGCATGGCTTGTGTAACCAGTCATTGGCTATTTGATAGGCACGCTTCTCCCACAAATATTGCAGAAGTTGCAGAGATGAGGAGGAGGAAGAAACAGTTGAGCACTTCTTCTGTAGCTGCCCACCTTTAGCTAAGAGCAGAGCGGGCTTTCAAGGTAGGCACTTTTTCAGCTCTTTCACGTAACTAACCTAATCCTATGCTTCATAAGAGCATCAAAATGGCTCTATGCTGAATAATCACTGAGGTTCAGGTGTTTCACAGTGGTATCACAATGGACCTGCAAGTTCTAAGTGAGTTAGTTATTGGACCGAAGAAGATAGAATTGAAGTCCCGGCAGGCCAAGCTTAGCAAAATACACCAAATAACTAGCGTAGACATCACTGGTGCATCCTCTACATGCCGTTATCAAGAAATAGGTTCTACTTTTTCCATTAGTACTAATCTCAATAGACAATGTGGAGGATAAGAATCATGTACTCTCTTCCTCTCTTACAGTTTTAGAACAAGGGGAATGATTGTGAAAAAGTATTGTTGGTTGAACTATGCCTTCAGAGGTTTAACTTCAAAGTTTTTCTCCCTAACAGAACCAACGAGAACAATGAACTACTAAAACCTCAGAAGGATAGCTATATTTTGTATACGGACAGCTAAAAAAGACCTGTAACCTGTGAATAACTGGCACAGCTTCGAAAACGAGGCAGTCAAGGAAAGAAGAGAATCTTTGGATTTCGGGAACTTTATTTATGTAAACGAACTAAAACTGAATGCAACATCTGATTTGCTCAGTGAAAGTACAAAAATGGTTTGCACGATATGATTTCAAACCGAGATGGTCGAACAATAATTGTATCCCTTTTTGAAAATGAGTTAGCTAAATGTATAAAATTAACCAGAGTAATACAAATGAATTGTCCTGAAATGCATGGCATCGAACTCAAGCAACACTGCGAACTAAATAATCATAATAATAATCTATGTATTTTCTGAACTATCGCTTCAATCTGCCAGCAAGATATGTATGTATGTACATATATGCAATTAGACGAAAGCAGCTGAATATCTCAATTTCAATTTCAATTTCCGTCGTGAACAATCTATCTTGTCCAAACTTATCCAAATTTATATGGTTTAGGTAATCGTAAAGTACATTTGACTAGTTATGGACTAGGTAATGCACCATACACCGGGTTAACATTCAAACCCCTCGGTTATGCTCTGCATAAGTAATGTTAAGTGAACATATCTTTTTTGCATTTATTTATGTATGTATAAATGTAACCTAAATAAATCACCAACAAATATAAGCACACACATACGTGATTATGCAGAATCAGTCATGCTAACCAATGAAACTTGGCTGACCTTGCTAAACTCATTGCGTTTCTCATACCCATGTTAACAATTAATTTCAAGCTAAGGCGGTGCAAACCCGTTGTACATGGACAAAAAAAAAACCATTGCTGCAAGTAACCATAATCCAATGCAATTTCAGAAACTGTATGTGGAATAAGTATTTATGCGGCTGCAGAAGGCTTCTGGCGCTCAGGACGGAAAGCCTGGCAAAAAGAGCGTTTACAGCAAACTGCTGTTATTCCTTTTATTTTGCAGAAACCAAAATTACAGTTAGCCAGAGTTACGCCTTTCAATTTCTCCAACTAAAAGTACGTTTATGTTTTATTATTTATGTACGTACATATGTAATACATCCTATGTATGTAGTTATGCTTACATTTACTCTCTCGACACTGCTCTCTTATCATGCTCTCTAGAATGTATGGCTGCAAAGCTATGCAAATTTGTAAACAATATCCCGTGTTTCGAGCACGTGTGTTCTGTTTTTGTTTCGTTTCATAATAGTGATGGCGCCGGTACTACCGTTGTATGCTGCTGCCAGCTTTCGCTGCCAAGTTTAGGTCGCCTGATATGCTTGCAGCGCCTTGAATGCTGCTACTTATTGCAGATGACCATTTTCTGCAGTTCACTAATTTTGATTTCAGACCAATGTTTCGTTTCACGTTTTGGGTTTTCTGGAAATCTATAGATTGCATTTGTATTGAAAGCATAAAATTGGTATTGATATATGTACACATGTACATATGGCAAGGCAATTTGGAAAAAAAAAATATTTTTCCTAACCTAGGGGTAGCTTTTTTATAGCACTACTGGAGCAGTCGAAATACTTCGTTAGCAAAAGTTTAATGATGGGTAAGTACTAGAACAGTGTATTTGAGGTCAATCAACTTTGGAACAAAAAAATTTTCTCCTCGAGAGAAGAATATACCATTAAGTTACGACTACAAATGACAAAAGTATTACGAAGAATTTAAAAGGCGAAGCTTACGTTTGGCAAAAAAAACATCGCAGTTTCTTTGAAAAAATGATTCAGCGTCGAAAGTGAGCGGCGAACTTTTTTTCTTGTACTCGTTATTTATACAATTAAAGAGAAATTAAAAAAAAAAAAAAAACTGGAGATCCACTTAAGTTTTTCGATATAACTTTGGTAAATGTAACTCGATCGGTACGTAATAATTACCAAATTGTAAGCGAGCCTTACTGTTACTGATTTATGATAGTAATATGATGAAAATCTTTCAGGTTATAAACAAATTATTAAAAATAAAAAATAAATGTTGAACAATTTTTTTTGTGATTTTCCTATATTTGCAATTTTTATGTTCTATGCATAAACATAAGTAAACTAATTAGTGTTTCTAGAAGTTGTGCCTGTTCAGTGTTTCCATACTCATTTGCCTAAACAAAATTTTTCCACGATGACAGAAAACTTTTGGCTTTTATATTAGAGCTACCGAAATTGATCCTAAATTTGCGAAAATTCGCAAACTATAGCTAATATTAATATTAACTATTTTCACATATGTAATTTTGCGGTGGTCCAAAATAATTAAATTCCGAATTTTAATACTCTCGCTCCTAGGATTGTTCTATACCGAAAAAATATACAAAGTTTGCAGTTGCTCTTCGTACTA